TCTTTTAATTTCAGCTACTAGCCGGTGAACTTGGTCTGGTCTCTACCAAGATCACTAAAGCCGATAAAGCAGAGCACATCAAAAGGAAAAGACACAGTGTTCCACAAACCTCTACAAGTAAGTAAACTCACACCCATCTGGGTCTCTGCATTTAGGGATTCAACTGATTGGTTTTAGAGTTTTTTGGGGGATGTCAGCTGTTCTTTTCCTTACCCCAGGTGTCAGGCCTGCCTCTATTGGACTTGGTTTCATGGTCCAGAGTTTGGGTACTGACGATCATAGGATTGCTAAAATGGCTCAACAGGTGAAGGACGTGTTGCCTCATGTCCCACTGAATGTCATCGCAAAGGACTTAGGTGGGACCCGACTTAAGTGCACGTTTACATTTTGACCCCACATGAATGTACTGTCATTATTGTTCACTCTGCTCTTCCTGCTCTACCACACTGCTCTATCCATTCATCCAATTTGTTATAGAGCCCGACTGATATGGGATTTTTAAGACCTATTTTGATATTTGAGGATTTTAAAATCCAGTATTCCGATATATCGGCAAATATCTTTTTTTTTATTTTTATTATTTTTTTCTCCTTCTTTTCAGAAACAGATAACATAAACAAAGATTATCGTATCGTGTGTAAATATGAGACAATACCAAGATAGCATGACATAATGCAGTTTAAAAATACATGTTTTACTGTTATAAAGAATAATTGATTATGTCAGCTGATTGCTGTGTTTTGTGGAGCTCCAAACACGTGTTGCCATTTTTCTTCTGTCCCTCCATTTCTTTATAAATTGTCATTTATTGGCTGTTAAGAACACCTATAACGATTTACAGTATAAACTATGTAGCAATAAAAATCGGTCAGGCTCTAATTGTAACACAGCCTTCAATTCATAGTTTTCAGTCACATGACATGCGTGGTGACCTGGAGCGCAAAACAAGAGACCAACATACAACAGACAACTCCCCCGTAGAGATGCTGCAAAGCTGTCAAATTTTATTTGGATCACCTTTCAACTTAAGAAAAAGAAAGATATGAACACAAACTGTAAGTGTTGGGCATATCCGATCTATATAGCGTTACAGCGACTTCTACTGTTAAAAACCGCCAGGTCCCTGCTGCCTCTCCAATGCGGTAATGTTTACTTTTACCTTCTGGGGAATCCCTCACCTAACACAGCCCAGGCTTGTCTCCTCCTCGATTAGTAAATGTGAAAGCACAACATCCGTCCAGCATTTTGGCAACGCTCAAAGTAACACTTTGTATCACTTGCTTATTGGTTGGCAGGCAGCGGAAAAAAACTTTTTTGCCCTCCAAGGGAGCGTTTTCCTTGGAATGTGACGTCACGTGAAAATTATGAATACTTCATTGGGGTTTACATTGTTATGTGCTTACGGTTGTCTCTTGATTTTGTACAGCAAAAACCAATTGTGTTGATACCACCATAACAAATCTACTGGAGAACAAGGAGGAAACTCCATTGGAAGCAACCGAAACGTCGACATTTGGGCCTTCCAAGAACAGCCCCTACTCCTGCGATTCTGCTCCCACTTTAAAGGTTTGACGTTTCAGCATGCTGCTGTGTCTGAGCTCTCTCACTGGGCAATTTATAATTTTGGATCCATTTTAATCTTAGGCAAACACGTGAAGTTCATATTTCCTTGAATTATAAACAAAACAATTAAATATTGGAAATTTTAGTTCTGCTTTGTTCTGCTGTGCCACGTTGATTGATTATATTTGTTTTCACATACAATCTGTTGTAACTGTCTTTTTGGTGGGGTTTTTTTGCTTTTATGAAGTTTCTAATCCCATTTTCTTTTCACCCACAGCCTGCTGCCAAATCTTTTGGGAAATCACCAGTTGACAGACATTTATCTCTCCAAGAGAGAAAAGATGCGCTGTATAATTTTGCAAGAAGGTGAGATTTTCTTGCCTTTACCAATATCACATCATAAAGGAGATTATTATTTGTAAGAGGAGCAAAAGGTGTTTCAATATTGCAGCAGAAAATGGTAAAAAGGTCAGCCGTACATGGTGGAATGTCTCACCTGCTGTTTTTATCAGATATTCCTGGACTCTTTGAAAATGTTCCTGTTCAGGTCATGTTAATAAGTCACCTCAGAGAAAAGTCAAAGCTGCTTCATTATGCACAACATCTTGCACTTCTGCAATATTCATTTGGTTTGAGATTTACTTTGAATTCATTCCTTGGGTCACGTCTGTCGTTCAGTACTGATTCTGCGGTGTTACAGCAGCACCAGGCAAACGTTGTATGTAAAAATACACCTGTGTTCTCTAATTTAGACCCTAAACCTTTGTCTCCGAAACAGACGTGAGGGAGTCATTGAGAGAAAAGTGGACTGGCCAACATGAGATCTCTGAACTGTGTATTTAGCACTGCCTAGTGTTACCTAGTGTAACTTAAAAGCTGCACTGATCAATATTGTTATACAAACAATAGCTGAAATAACTGTGATAAATGTGAAACATGTCGATCGTAGTGACAAACCCCCAAAGAGTTATCACCTGACTCTGCAGATCTGTTAGCTCATAGTTTTGGTTTTATGCCTCACAACTTTACTGTTTGAACACCTTTTGAAAATGCGTCAGGTTAGTTGGAGAGTAAATTATGTGTGTGTGTCACATTAACCATCTATACCAGGTGTGTGTATGTTAAATATCAGAGGTGTGGACTGGAGTCACAAATGACTTGACTTGACAAAATCAAAGAAGACTTGTGACTCGACTTTGACTTGAACAGCAATGACTTGTGACTTGACTTGGACTTGAGCCTTTTGACTCGAGCTGACTTGATACTCCCCATGCCTGAATATAAATTATGATATAAAAAACTGCGCAACGCATCAACATAGCGCTGTGCTCAATTCCTCCACCTCACGGAGAAAAGAAAGGTCAGGTCGAAACAGTGTAGAGAGACTGCTGCAGCTGTTGCATGAAGCTGCTTCCACCAATTATAAAAACAAATTAACTAAGATAAAAACGATAATAGCGCCGGGTGCTGTTTCACAACGACACCTGTTTTGTTTTATAAATCCAGCACACCTCTTTCCTTTACAGCTGAGGCCCTCCCTAAAAGGTGTGTTCAGTGATGCTTTACCTGATCGGTTCTTGTAAAATATCCACTTTGTCTGCGTCTTCTAACGTCATAGCGATTTATAGTTTTCTCACTGCTGGTTTCTGTCACTGCATCTCCCGACAAAACACCACGGTTGTATTTCAGCGTTCTGTAACGTAACTTCGTCAACTAGAGTAGTTCACCTGTCACCTGCTCTGCTCCCCTTCATGTGTGTACACACACACACACACACACCCCCCTCAGTGACCCATCCGTCACCCAAAGCTGTCAACTTGGGGGAAACTGTGCTGTTGTCGTCCTCTTGCACTCTAGATGCTGCTTTCAAGGGCTATTTGGGATTTTGGAGTAATGCATATATAGTAGCCTAGTTTTTAAAAAGAAAGTATTACATTTCAATAGTTTACTGTTTCCTAAGGCAAGGAGTAATCCTGTTAAATAATTGTGATCTCAATATTGACCAAAATAAGTAGCAGCCCAGAACATTTAATTTAATTCATGAAATTTGTTGGGTGAAACTGCACCTCTGCCTTCTTTCTGTACATGCTAATGATTCATTCAATACATTGTTTTATTTTTAACTTGAAAAAACTTTTTAAATGGTTTTAAATTTGGTGAAGAGCGCATTATGACTTGTTTAGGACTCGAAACTCAAAGTTAAAGACTTGGACTTGACTTGGACTTGCCACTCATGATTGGTCTGGACTTGGGACTTGAGTGCCAAGACTTGAGACTTGACTCGGACTTGTAAAACGATGACTTGGTCCCACCTCTGTTAAATATTTCACTGATTATACTTCACTTTTGCAGAGTAAACACTGACGGATGATTTTATCTCTCTCTTTTTCCTCATTTAGACGCTACATTGAAAAACATGGATTGGATCAAGAAGACAGTCACTGAACACACCTTGGGTCAAGCCATCATTGAAAACTTGTCAGAGAGGAGCATTTTCAACTTGCATAGCTGTCTTATTTGAATGGTGATTTTATATTCTGTCAACGGGATCTGTTGAAAACCACATTTTGTTAGTTGCAAATAAAGGACAAGTATTCAAAACATGTACACGTTGATGGAATGGTGATTATGCATGTGTTTAATTCTTCATTCTGGCTGATACATAATTTTGATAACAGTTTGTATTACGATCCACTGACTGTGAATCATCTATTTATTTTTATAATGTCCAGAGTCGTCGATGAAAATAAAGTTCAGCTTGACCTTAAGGAAATTGTTTCCTTTGTATGTTGACTCAAATGTCCAAAGCTTGCCTTGTGAAAGAAAAGTATTGTTTAAATGTGAATTATATTTTGAATATTTCATTTATAAGTGTAAGGACTTTTGTCATATTTATAATTTCTAATGCATGCTTGCGTACAACCAAATCCTGCCATAAGAGGGAGCCAGAGAGTCAGTCTGTTTGGAGCGTAGTGGTCCCACAACAGGTCTTGACCAGTCTCTTCTGTTCTCTTTAGGAAAGATTTGGTCATTGGGACAAAAACACAAGACAATAAAACCAAAAGTTGCCCAAGAGGCGGTTGTGAAGGAGCAAGATGAAAGTCAGATTGGTCGTATCCAGTTTGAAACAGGTGAAAAACAAATGTGTAGATTGAATTGAATGAGATACTTTACGGCAGTGTCAGCAGCGGTTATTTCTGTCCACTGGTCCAGTCCTTATAAGAGGGAAGTCACAGCTGCGAAGACAAACATCATTAAAAACGTAATAATGACTGACATTCTTCCATAATAAATATTGTATACTGTATTATAAAGGCATGTCTGGATGACATTTTAATGACTACTCTGAAACGCAGCTCGTTGTTTGGGTAGAAAGGCAGTGTTTCCTGCAGTACGTAAATGCAACATTCCGCTTCACCGGATGTTACGTTTTCGTCTTTCCTCCCGGAAGCTGAACACAGAAGCGATTAAAAGCTACCAAGTTCGCGATGTCAGGTGTCGAGGAAACTTCAAATGAACCTTTAGGCGTAAAAGACGACAAAGAGTTTGACGTGGAGGCTGAAGACCACCTCGGGGATGATTATTTTGCTGACCCGACTCGATATTTATTTTACAGGTAGCGTTTGGCTTTAATTTTCCATAAACGTTTGGATGGCTAAGACTGGTAGCTGCTGTAACGGTAACGTTATTCTTCCATTAACTTTAGTTTGCAGTAACATGATAATGTTAATGTTTGAAACGTCTGGTTTAACCATTGTAACATTACGCTGATTGACTAGGTAACTTCTGTAAGTTCATCTCCACCACTGTCAAGTAGGAACATTTAAGTTAACTAATGCGCAAATACACTGTACCGACACAACGATAAAAATAAGTTTATCTTAATTATTTCGATGTGAATTTAATTGTTCCCCCCCCCCGCATTTGATTAACAAAGTAGTTCGTGTTAGTGACGTTACTGTAACGAGTGCGAGCTACATTAGCTAACGTTAACTCAAGGCAGTGAGCAGCCAGGAAACCCACCCCCGTGTTTTTGTGTTTCAGAGACAGAAAGGAGTGGGCTGACCTGGAGCCTGTTCCTCAGGATGATGGCCCAAATCCTGTAGTGAAGATCGCCTACTCTGAAAAGTGTAAGATTGTTAGTCAGAGATGAAAGACACCATAGGAAGTGACACGCAAACCCCCACAGATCCACGAACCATAGCTTGTAACACTTACACATTCACCTATACATGCACGTATACATTCATTTGAAATGAAAACAGACATTAGACCAAAAAAATATCCTGTAGCAGTCAGAAGGTTGTTGTTGACATTCTGATTTGTACTCTTCTACATTTATTTCTCCCAACAGTCTCAGATGTTTATGACTATTTCCGTGCACTCCTGAAGAATGATGAAAAGAGCGAGCGCGCTTTCGCCTTGACAGCAGAGGCCATTGAGCTGAACGCTGCCAATTACACAGTTTGGTGAGCATGCTGCATGTTTGGAATACATAAAACTAATGTGCTATTTAGCAGGGTCTCATTTTGACTGTGTCCTCTGTGATGTTTGTGATGTATTGTAACAGGTGTTGGGTTTGTGTATGTGCAGGCACTACAGGCGAGTACTACTGCAAGCCCTGTCAAAGGACCTGAGGCAGGAGATGAGGTACATTACTGCCATCATCGAAGAGCAACCCAAAAACTACCAAGTCTGGTGAGTGCTGCCAAATTAATTTCAGGCCACATGTTTGTGTAACAGTTGGGACATTACTTGAGAAAATATTCGTAATCATGCTCATCAATATGTGTAAAGTATTTGTTTGAAAAGGCTGTCGATGTCAATTTCTAAATGTTGTTAACCTTTTATCAAATATAAATAAACAAGACTCTGTTGAAACCAGTTTTTCCTCAAAAAGATGAGATTCATTGACTGGGGTGAAGACAGCCTGAAGCAAGAGATTTGTAAAATGATTCAATTTAAGGATAACGTTATAAAATATAACCAGTTTTCTAAACTCCTCCCCTCCCAGGCATCACAGACGTATGGTCGTAGAATGGTTGAACGACCCCTCGGAGGAATTGGAATTCATTGCAGACATTCTCAGCCAAGATGCAAAGAACTACCACGCCTGGCAGCACAGACAGTGGGTCATCCAGGTAGGTGTTGGGACACTTAGCAGAGTTTGGCTTACAAAAAAACCAAGGACTGTGATCCAGTTTTCTGCCCACAGTTAGCCATTCTGCCAGATTAGATCCTTTATTTATTAATTTGGTGGTTTGTTGATGTGGTGTTTGAGTCCTTCCATGGTCAGTATTTGTCTTAGGCATCGCAGGGCCTCCACAAAAAGCAATACATGATTACATAAACAAGTACATTGCCAATGCCAACATTTGTCTTATTCAATCTCCAGGAGTACAAACTGTGGGACAATGAGCTGGAGTTTGTGGAGAGTCTCTTAGAAGATGATGTGAGGAATAACTCTGCGTGGAACCAGAGGCATTTTGTTATTTCTCACACCACCGGCTTCTGCGATCCAGCCATAGTGGAGAGAGAGATTCAGTAAGTACTCTTAACAAAAAACTGGATGATGAAATTTTATTTGTTCAAGATGGATGAAAAAAGTTGCTTATATTTATAGGATGCGAGTCTTTATGTACAAAGATCTATTAAAGGCATTATAATGTTGAGGAGACAATATTATTCACTGAAAGTCAAATACAGCAGAGCTACACATTTATCCTGTATTTCCTTGCCAAAGTAAAGATGTCCTGTGAACAAGCTGTATGACTAATGAAAGTTTATTTTTATAACCTCAGCATTGTTCCTGCTTCAGTCTGTGCAAGTGCTTTAAGTTTTCTGCCGCATACATGTTACTGATTTTTCTCTCTTTGTGTAAGGTATTGTCTGAACCAGATCAGGAAGGCTCCCCACAATGAAAGTGCATGGAACTATTTGAAAGGGTAAGATGTAACATCAGATCTTTTTTTTATTTTTATTTTTTTTATTCCTACAGTTAATCTAAATCCTGTGAGGAGAAGGAGCAACGTGTATTTTCTCTGGTATGAGTCTTTCCATCCTGTTTGGTCTGACTGAAGATTTCTTGAAGCCAAATCACCAATATGTCAGTGTGCCCTACCATTCAGACATTCACAATATATATGACATGCTACAGGGGGAAAAGCCAAGTGGAGACTTGAGTATTAAAAATGGAAAAGCTCACTGATGGTTTATTTTTGCTTCAAGGATGATGCAAGACAGAGGTCTGTCTACTCAGCCTGGCTTGCTGGAGAGAGTCCTGGAGCTGAAGGAGACTCACTGTTCACCTTATCTTCTAGCATTTCTGTTTGATTGCTATGAGGACGCCTTGGAGAACAGCAACCAAAAAGAAAATGTGGAGGAAGAGGAACGAAAGGAAACTTTAAGAAAGGCTCTAGAAGTAAGGAAAATATAACAGAAATAAACAGAAGATTGTGCCATTGTTGTTTTTCTGACCCTTCTTGTATACGTTCTCCCCCCCTTAAAGATTTGTGAACTTCTGGCACTGAAGGACACCATCCGTAAAGAGTACTGGCTGTTTTTGGGACGTTCTTTAAAGAGCAAATCTGGAAGCAGTGGTCCCTCTGATAAGCCTCTGGCAGATGATCCTGAACCGTCTGTCCCAGCCTCTGGGCAGCAGGAGATGAGTTAAGAGACCAGCAGGAGACTCGCACCATGTCCTCTCCTATCCTGCTTCATCAATACTGTGCAGTTTAATAATAATGTCAGTTTCCATCATGAATATGGCTGAAGAAGTTTTGTTAACTAACCACTAACATGAGATGACCTAGGTTGAAGGGATTGAGCTGAAATGTAACACACACCGCAAATGTCAATACACTTTAGTATCAGACAAGCAACGCTGTGTTTCAAGCATGGGATAGCGAAGTCACTTTTTATTTTACCTGAAAGAACTAGGACTAAATAACTACATAATTAAGCTGTATCATACATTTAGTCAGGTTAATGTCGCCTTTAGATGTATTGGTGGCTGTTGTCATTCTATTTCCTATCAGTCTGTGTTTAATAGCAGTCCACATGCAATAGTACTAATGAGGCTCTTGAGTGTGTTTGCATGCATACTTAATTCAATTTAATGTCTTTGACTGATTGTGTCTAGGTACACATCTTAACTAAATATCTGGTTAGAGAGAAATAATCACTATACCAGCATCCTGGTATGTTGATTCATTGTGTTGCTTTTAAATATAATGTAGTTTGTTTTGTGGTAACTTGGATGTTCTTCAAATACAGGGATATTTTCTAATGGACATTCATTAGTGCCTCTAAATGAGACTTTAAATGGAGTATTGTGTGCATGGAAACCCACTCTTTATCTAAATCCTGGAACTTTTTTTTTTTTACCTTCTGATGGTGTTGGTCAGAGAATAAAAAGCGCCATGAAACAAAATATACTGTTTGTAGCAAAACTATTGAAATGCAGTGCTGCTGCATTCTGATCAATGACTCGGACATCACAGCTTTGCACCCCCCGATCTATACCAGTTGCTCTAAATTAGCCTCTGCTCTTGCTGTTGGTCAGAGTGCGTTCTGTTTGGTCCTCTGGGCTGTGCTGCCGAGAGAAAACCGAACTAACCAGCGAGGCAGTGCGCACACAGCACATGTATTGACAGCCTCATGTCCTGGACTCCCCCGGAGCTAGGAAATGGATTTACTCCACTAGATGCAGCTGTTTCTACTTCTGACACTACAAACCAAGCACTTGGTTTGCAAGCAGTGTGTAATTACAGCTTCTCTAAATACTTGATATTAGAGTAGGACAGCTTGCTTTTCTCTGCTTTTCCTCCCCACTGTGGAGGACACTGATGGGCTAGTTCACGTCATCAGCAGTTATGAAATGACTGAGCATGAGAGCCATATGATGCTGATGATGTGATTAATTTAGTCTAATGTACTAGCTACCTCTAAAAGATTTCCCCCTTGTCCCTTAACAAAATGTAGTAGCTTTGGGTTAATCTGTGAAGCAGCTACTTTGTTAATTAATAGCTGAAATAACAAAACAGGCGACACAATGCACAATCCAGGCTGTGACAATGAATATTGGCTCCACTGTTTGAACTTATTAAACAACACAGATCAGGTACCTGCTGCATCACTTTAAGCATTGTTTGGAGGACAGTGTTCCCTAGTGGTTAAACTCAGAACATAAAAGGGGTTCCAGACAGTGTGTAATTAAAATACTAATTACACCCAGCACAAATCCAAACAAATCACCCAGTTTCCCTGACAGCCTGCAGGTTATGGAAGTTATTAAATACAGGTGAAGAAGACAGACTGCAGCCAAATGTCTTCTGTTCTGATGTCCATATGTGACTTCCAAAGCAGCGCTTTTATGTAGACTTGTGATGTCACTCGCTTCTGTGCAAGATGCACGCACAGATGCAGTGGATTAACAGGAGACCAATGTTTTGGTTAAGAGTCCTGGACAAGATCCAGCTTGGTTCTGAGACATCTGTTTCTTCTAAATGGTGGAAAAAGCAGCTAATCCTTTGTGGGATTCTGCAGCCTCTCCATTTATCACGGAGTCAGCCACATGTTTGTTTGTTTTAACTCTGAGATACACACTGATACCAGAACCATACACGTGTGATTTTCGAGGGGGCACATTTTTGCATTTTTATTGTATTTTCACAATGTAATTCAATACAGAAAACAGACAAATTTGGTGAAAGGAGTGAGGAACTAACCTGTCACTCCAGTTGCAATTTCTATAACTTTCTCACCGTTTATACACAAACACTTTGTATTAACACTAATTAAAGAGAACCACATTGAAATACATAAAGAGACAACAAACCTGCCATGCTAAGCTTATATTATTCAATATTGTTCTTAATATCAACAAATCCCCTGAAAAGCCCAAAGCCAGCAATGAAATGAACCTAAATGTATTGCCTATGTTGTCATTGTCTGCATATCTTAGTCCTCTGTGTCATTGAGCTTGCTGTCCAAAAAAAACATCAATTAAGTCACTGTTACACTGACTGACACGTTGTGTAATTATGATTGGGCACTTTATTTAGAATCAGTCTCACATATGCTGTTGTGGTGCATCAAATTGTCACTAGCCCACAAAATGTGTATAAATACAGGGCAGAAAACTAGCCAACAAATTTGGCAAAGTAACAACTGCTAAAACCTATAGTGCCCAGCTGATTTAGGATTTGGTAATGAAACTTTTCATCTCTAATGAAAGAAGAACAAATGGACTTGACTGAAATTGAGGTGCATACACATACCCCTCTCTCACTCCTAATATTCACTGTCTGCATCTGCAGCATCACTGTTTAATAAAAAGGCAACATACAAAAGATAATCCTTTTTATTAAAACGTCCTTGTTGACTGTTTTTTAACCTCTCATGTGATCGTCGTCACTACACCTCTGCCTTCCTACTAATGAACCACTGTCTCATTTTCATCATCATCCCAGCACTGCTCCTGAATAGAGGGGGGATTTTTTTGGAAAACAAACTACATGGGTATCCATACAACTATTAATCTTCTTAAAAGCATAAAGAACATTCACAATGATGCTACTGAATGTGTAAGAAATGTCCTTAAAGTATTAATCTAGTTTCTGCGTGCGCTGTCTCCAGACCAGCCAGTCAATGATTTATAATTGACTTCAATTTTTTTTTAAGCATAACTAAATGAACTGAGTGGGATGTTTAATGAGAAGACATTGCTCTCACATTAACTGTTGTTAGTCTTTATGATTTAAACTTATTATCTGGATTTAATGCCTTCTACTCTTACTCTTTACTCTTACTTTAATTTTCCAAAAGTACTTTGTTTAAATGTCAGTCCATGAAAACCAATTGAAAATATTTATAGTGGGCAATCAAGTATGTTAATACATCTAGTATTGCAAATTAAAAGGACCAGGAGAAGAATTGGATGTTAATTTTCCTTTTGATATACAGTAGATTATAAGAGGACATTGTATTAATTTGCTTTGGATTTATTTTAGACAATGACTGATAATGATGATGGTAACACTGGTGAGAGCATTACTAATTGGATAATGGTTAGTTTCCTACCTGACAGAAATAATGTTTACTGTTAGAATACGAAATTGTTCATCATCTCCTGCTGCCATTAAATGCGGCATCCCTCCAGACTCGATTTTAGGCCCTCTCTTATTTTCACTATATATATACTTCCTCTTGGTACTATTTTTGAGAATTACAATATTTTGTATCATTGTTACGCAGATGATACACAGTTCTATACCAGTTACACCTGACAGCACTCACTCTCTGAAAAACCTCTTAAACTGTCTGACTGATATCAACGACTGTCTGACTGATATCAACGGCTGGATGGCTTCAATTAAATGAAAATAAAACTGAGGTAATTCTATTTGGCCCTGTCATTAGCTTAAGTAATTCACTTGGTCCCTTGACTACAATGAATACATACAAGAATTTAGGTGTTTTCATGGATACTTCTTTGAATTTTAACAAGCAAATCAGTAGTGTTGTGAAAGGCAATTTTTATCAACTTAGAATCATAGCCAAATTGAAGCCATTTTTATCCCATAGAGACCTGGAAACAATTATACACGCGCTTATCACCTCACGGCTGGACTACTGTAATTTCCTTAACCTAACACTGTAATTCAGTATTCAGTGTATTTGTGTAAACTGTATTCTGAAAAGCATTTACTAAAGATAATGGCATTCTTAAAAGCTCCATAGAACCCACAGACATCTCTCAGCACAAGACATTAAATGAAGAAGTAGCTTATAAAAACCAAAATGATCCCAATATCTCACTTGGGGGCAGCAGAACTAGCTCGAAACATAATACATCGAATAAAGGTGATATGGCTGTGTTAGCAAACAGTTGCTTAAGTACTTCATCAGACACTGAGAAACAATTATTGATTTGGAGTCATGTTTCTGGCCAACTGAAAATTTAAGTGCAGTTAACTCTCCTTATACCTCTGTTGTGGTTTTCACTAACTCATTGATCTCCACTAACTCATTAGGAAAAAAAATGTCTGGCTCTTTGCTGCTAAATGCTCAACTATGTTCACCAGCTACATAGACCTTATATAAGAAATGGATGTATTCATCGTGACGTCCCCCGTTGGTTTGTGGACTGCCGTTCTGAAGCCTCGAGTTTGGCCGATAGGCCGCTGCCATGTTGAGTTTTTGCAAACCAGCGGCACAGGACGTGACCATGTTCGGACGAGACGGCGGCGCTAACGGCAGTGTGTGGCGCTAGCTACCTAGCTTAGCTAGGTGCATCTGTAATTCACTTGAACCGTCATTTTAACAGAGCTGATAACTTTGTCTAGAGAACAAAAGGCTTAAAACTAAATGTACTCACCAGAGAAAGTGAACAGCCTACTCATATGCTTTTTCAGCAGCGCTGGTTAAATTTACACAGTACCGTGTGTAGGAGTCACTCTAGCCTGACTGACAGGTCGCCATGGTAACGACTTGTTAATCATAGATAATCCCGCCCTAAAGCCTCCCCTGCTTTATGGTCCATTTTCCTCTAAATGGGACCATAATTTACTAAATGACTGTCCGTTCAATTGAATGCAGATTTAAGGAACTTCGCATTGGATTCACGTCTCAGACCGGAAGCTTCCCGATTGACCAGCTAATGTTAGTTGCTAACGTTTTCTAGCTTTTTCTGTTGGGCAGGTAACGTACATTGGGTTTATCAGAGCATTATTTTCAAGCTGACGACAACAGCAACCTGTTGTGGCTGTAAATGAGGTTGATGAGAGCAGAAGCTGCCTGCTGGAAAACCAAAACTGTTAGCTAAAAGAGGCTAAAAAATGCCGTAGAGCTGAGGGGAAGAGCAGAGTTAAGGGCTGATTATCAGTGGGTTGGTCACAATAAGAAACACCTTTCAAATTACACTTTGCCATTTAGTCCATTTTAACATAAAATATTGATTAGTGCAGCTTTAAATAATACACTTTGCTTCTTTGTTTATTTTCCTTACAGTCCTGCCCAGTTGATAGGCCCTGTCCCTTGTCCTGGCTTGGCCAGACGGGTCATCCGCCTCTGTATTGATTGTTTATAGTTTTCCTTTTTGGGATAAACATTGTTTGAGTCCTTCTCAGTTCCAGCCGCCAACAACAGTTGAGATTGCTTTAGATTCATCAATATTTATAAGCTAGCACAGGATTGTACAGGCTGGCCTGTCACCACTGTTGTAACTGCTGCTGTAAAACTGCATTTCAGATGCAGGAGTGGTCCCTTCACAGCTGACTCTTGGCACAGCTGAAGTAATAGGCACTTAAACACACACACAAAGCATCACACACACACCTTAACTTGTAGTGATTTAAGTTTAAAAAAGCTGCTCTTGGAGGGAAAAGGGTGATTTTACCACAGTGTGAGGGATTTATCTGAATTGTTCTG